TTTTTGCTTCTTGGTGAAAATGTTCCTTCTCTCTCTCTTTTTATTTAAAAAATATTTTCCAAATGCCCACTCTGTGCCAGGGATTTCACACATGAGGAATGGTGCTCAGCCAGCCCCTTCCTTTGAGAACTTGCATGCCATTCCCAATCCTGGGCATATGAAATCAGTATGTTGAAGAGACAGCTGCACTCCCATGTTCATTGCATCATTGTTCATGACAACCAGGATGTAGAATCCACTAAAGTGTCCACCAACTGATGAATAAAGAAAGAACAGTGAGGTACATATCAACAATGGAATGCTATTCAGCCCTTAAAAAGCAGAAACTTCTATCACATCTGACAATGTGGGTAGAGGTGGAGGATATTGTTAAGTGAAATAAGCCAGACATAGAAAGACAGACATCATACAGTCTCACTTGTATGTGGAATCTAAAAAAGTTGAACACGTAGAAGTGAGTAGACTGTTGGTACCAGGATCAGGGAAGGGAGGTGGTAGGAGATAGGTTGGTGAAAGTATACAAAATTTCAGTTTGATTGGAAGAATTAGTTCAAGAGAAATATTGTGTTCTAGCACTATGGTGACCACAGTTAATCACAATGTATTGTCGTTTTGAAAATTGCTGAGTAGATTTTAAGTGTTCTCACCACAAAAACAAAGAATGTGAGATAATACATATATTAATTAGCTTAAATTTGCCATTCCACCATGTATACATGTTTCAAAACACCATGTCATACATGGTATAATTTTTATTAATATAATTTTTATTCATTAATTAAATTTTTTTAAAAAGCTCACATTCCACACTCAGCCCAGGCATCTCCTCTGCTTAGAGCCTGTCTTCATCATATCTTCTGGTGCCTCCACGACACACTCATGCTTTTTTCTTATCATGTTTATCATATATCTGTCCCCTCCTTGAGGTGAGGCAACAAAATAGGCAGATTTCAAGGAAATAAAAAACTTTTTCTTCCCATTTTGTACAGAACTTTCTCATTAAATTTAGTTTTGCCTTTTTTTTTTGACGACTACTAAAATTGAACAATTTTCAAATTTTTTACTGGGCCATTGCAGTTTTTTTTCCTATTTTAATTCCTTTTCAGGACCTGTGCTCAAATTTTTACTTGTATGATCATCTTTTTCTAATTGATTTCCAAGATCCCTTGATAGCAACGATATTGACCCTTTTTACATATTTTCTGAATTTAAGATTCTTATTTACTTCATGGTTTTTGTTTATAGTTCAATGGTTCTTATTTTCAACATTGTGGTAGTCAAATCTGGACCATTTAGCTTTTTATAATCAGACATACTCAAAAAGAGAGTCAAAGTTTAGCTTAGAAGTATGTATTCAATGCAAGGAAAGGATTAAGTGAAAGCAGATAAGAAAATTAGGCAAAGAAAACAAATAATGGTAGGAAAGTAATATGGGCCAAGAGTTGCCTTGATTTTATTTTATTTATTTTATTTTTCTAAAGATGCCATTGCATGTTTGCACTCATTAAGAGTGGCTGTCTGCTCTCCTATAGCACATGTTGACAAGTAAATCTAATGTATAAGATCGACGGTGGTGCAAGGGAGAAACTGGGGACGTACTTAGAAGATGCAATGATATTCCTAATTCTGATGCTAATCCGTCCCCTCCAAAAAAGGTTTTCCTCTGAATCCTTATGAGAACACACTGTCAATAAACTGTATCTTTAGCACAGCCTACAGGGAAATGCAACACATCTCACAGATCATTTCAAGAATTGCAGACTAATTTTTCAAGGATTTGTTCTTTGTTTTAACTTTGTGAAACAATATCCATTCCTGATTAATTATTTTAAAATAATCAGGGAGGCATGTAGCAAAGGAAGGATGTCAAGGAAAAAAATGTTTTGTATTGATCTTAAAAGCAGTTTTATTTTTATATGAAGGAAAATACTTCCCAGTGGCCTTTTACTTAGAGCAATTTCACTGGTCAAAAATACTTTTCAGATATGTTTGGGGTAGCGTGCAAAAACACACCAAACAGCTATTTGTCAAGACTTCAAAGGCTGATACTTTGAACTGCTCAAAGTAAGTTGGTTGATCAGTCCTGACACTGCATTCAGAATGAACACAATATACAACTAGTGTTGCTGCAACCCGTGTAACCACAGAGTTCTGCTTGAGGTGCCAGAAGTCAAATTCAAAGCAGAAGGAAGAGATGATTCTGCAGGAGTTGGGCATAATTGGAAAAACTGGTACATGTTTTTGGATTTCTGATTGAGGGAAAAATAATTTTTTGACATAATAATACTTTTAGCCAATTTGGGATTATAATTTTTATAGAGTAATAGATTCATAAATTTAAAGAGACCAGAGAAATTATTCAGTTTGTTTCTCTATCACCAGTTTAAATCCCCTGTAAATTTTTTCCCTCATGAAACAACCAGTCTAAACTTGAATAGCAGAGTAGCATGATGTTTAAGAGAGCCAGCTCTGACATGCCACCCACATGAACTTGGGCAAGTTTCTTTTCTAAACTTCAGTTTTCTTGTTTGTAACTTTGGTTCAGATAAAGTGCCTAGAACAATGGCTGGCACACACTGGAAACTCGGTAGCACTTACCACTTCTGATCATTAAATTCTTATATTATTACATATGCCTTCCAGGGAAAGTCATTTCTACCTAGTAAAAGCAGAGGGTTTTGTTTTGTTTTGTTTTGTTTTTAAATTAGTAATGGTAAGAGTTGTCTCCTGGTAGTAACAGAATGACTTTTATAGAACTACCATGTGCCAATAACAATTTTGAACTCTGGACCAAAAAACAGTGCAAATAATTATAAAATCAGAACTAAAATAATTGTTTAAGGCTGAATATTGATCATTAAATTAAAAAAAATACATTTATTTATTTTTTTACTTGTAGTTGGCACAATACCTTTATTTATTTAATTTTATGTGATGCTGAGGATTGTGAACCCAGGGCCTCACAAGTGCTAGGTGAGCGATCTACTGTTTAGCCACAACCCCAGCTAAATCATTACTTTCTTAAAAGTGCTGAAAGAAAAACTAAGTTAGTCTAGATGACTTATACTCAGCTTACATTCAACCATATCACTGATTATATTAGGTATAAATGTACCAAAACTTCTAACTAAAAACAGAGATGTTATGTATTTTAAATAGAAGACACTGACATCTTGAAAATAAAAGGAGGAGGTGTATTTTAAAACATGAATACTTCCAGAAATGAAATGAGACATTCTGTAATGACGAAAGCATTAATTCATTAAGACAAGATAATCTTAAGTGTGTTGGTCTAATGATAAAATATTATTTTCTAAATTTCTGTCCAGTAATTCCCTTTAAGGAGATCTTTGTCTTGATTGGGACGATGCTTTGGTAAGTGTATTGGAGCAGGTGGTCTCTTGAGCCACAGATATGGGATATTTTTGATAGTTCACAGAAGTAGGTAAAATTATTTGAGATAAGGAGATAGGGTTGCCAGTGTTCCCAGTTTGTTCAGAACTGAGACATTTCTTTGAAAATGTAACTTAACAGTGCGAAAACCAGGATTCCAAAAACTGGGGCAGTTTCAGGCAAACCAAGACGGTTACTCATCCTGCAAAGAGAAGAATCCATTTGCCCTGGAAATAGAAGAATAAAAGAATAAAGAGAGAAGAAAACAGTGGCTATTGAATATCCAGGAGATGATAAGGGATTGTACAGTGGATGAAATGGCCCCTTCCAGTGATCCTTTGAACCCTAAGAAATATTACTAAACACATAAAAAGATAGTTCTAAAGTGTGTGTTTATGTTTGGGAAGCTAGTGATGAAGTAGAATGGGTTAAAAATAGACAGTATGCATCACTGACATGGTATTTGTGGGGCAAGGACAATGAGAATGTCATCTTTGGGGATTTGTAGAAATGTTGGTATGCTTTGGAACTGTCATAGGCTATGGAATAGATCTGAGTCTAAGACCGTATATTATGGGTGAAAAAGACTGATATAATACCAGGATTTTGTATTAGTTAAGATCTTTGGGTTTGGGATGATAGAAAACCTAACTCTGTCTTATACAATGAAGGGAATTTATATACTGAAATAACTAAAAAAAAATCCAGAGGTAAGGTGGACTTCAGGTTTAATTCACTGCCTAGGTTCAGAGTCATATCTCCACAAGCCTCTCAGCAACCCTCTTCCTATGACATTTCACCTTCAAAGCAGGGTCCCTTCACGGTAGCAACAATGGGCACAGCAGTCCTAGGATTCACATTTTTATACAGCATCATGATTAGCAAACTTTTTCTGTAGAAGACCAAATAGAAAATACGTTGGGCTTTGCATCTGCATTGCTCATTTCATTATAGTGTGAAAACAACCATGGGCAATATGTAAACAAACAAACAAAAAAAAAACATGACTGTGTTCTGGGAAGACTTCATCCATTTGCATATTTTAAAATTTATGTGTCATGAAATACTACTCTTTGGAATTTCCTGCAAAGCATTTAAAAATTGTAAAGCCATCTTAGCTCAAGGTCTGAACAGAATCAGGTGGTGAGCCAGATTTGACCCACAAGCCATAGTTTGCTGATCCCTGATTTAAAAGATTATCTGACCAGAGTTAAAAAAAGAAAAACAAAACTCTCTCCTTCCTGGCATATTTTCTCTTTTCCCTTCTCCACACTCTCAAGACAACCCCATCCAGTGCCACTTATGTGCCAAAATCCTCAAAGTTTTATCTCTAACCCAGACTGCACCCCTATCACCAGATTCCTTTGGCTGCCTGCCTACTTGACATTTCAAGGTATAGTAGCATTTTGAACTTGACACAATCCTAACCTTCCAGGAATTCTGGCTTCCTTAAAATGGGTCCAGCTCCCAACAACAGGCAGAGACATATTGTCATTCCCATGGAATTGACCCAATGCTACAAGATGGTGTTTCACTGTTGCTTACATTTCTAACCTGTGTGTGGTGAGATGAGGAAGTAGTCTTATTATTCTTTTTTCCTCCTCTAGGGATGAATAAAACTGAGAAATCAATCAAAAGTGTGACATCAGATTGAAGAATTTTTCAATAGTATCTATGAGCCTTTGGAAATGTGGTGAGAAGAAATGGTTATGATTCAATATACTGCTTCCACAGAAAGTTCCCATTCAGACTTGGATCTTACCCCATCTGATTACTTATGATGTATGCAGATACTCCAGATATTGTTTTGAGTTTTTGCTATTATTTACGCTTTTGTAAGTTTCTTTAGTTTGCTTTTATTTTGTCCAACTAATCTATTTTCTTTAGTGAATTGCTTCAACTTCCTGATTCTCTCCTGTGTTTTGAAAAGAATAAACATTTGACTAAATTAAAACTACATTCTGATAAATATGAGCATTTAGTCCTTCATTTGCTCAGTACATATTTTTTAAGCATTGCTGTGTACTCGACATTATTCTAGGCTCTGAAGACAAAAAGATCCAAATGTCTGCCCAGCCCTTAAGATGCTCATAGAACGGGAAGGGCAACAGAAAATGTAAACTTACAATTCACAATACAACAGTGTAGATGTTAGAATGAAGCCTAAGAAGTGTTTTAGGAAGAGAGGGAAATATCGAGGTTCACAGAGGAGACATTGAAGTTTTTACATTAGGAAAAGAAAAAAAGTGAAGGAGGAAAAGAAGGTGAAAAGGAGAATCCCTAGTTCAAAATATCCATAGTTGAGTCACAAGACAATTACTTCCGGAAAGAAGTATTGAGAAGATGTATTGGGTAGATGAAATGCCTAATGAGACCATAAATGAGGAGAATTGCTTCTTATAGTGTATGAGAAGATAATTTTTATCAGATAATGAAATTGTTTTCAGTCTTCGGAATGAAAATGAATCCCTTGCTAATGCAGATCATGCTAATAAAGGGAGCGGGAGAGAATGTCGGAATTACACTTGGCTCGTGGTAGGCAGAAGCCAACCTAAATAGTCTAGGGGAAAAATGAAAGATAATGAAGTAATCAAAATAATTGCTTAATAGGGAATGTGAACGATCTGCAGTGTTAAATTATAAATGTACATTTTCAAGAAAAATGAGGTGACCTTAAGGAACAGATTAGAAACCCAAACTCGTGCCGGGTAGAAGCAAGGCTTTTCATTAGCAGAGCTTAAGATTAATTAAATCTGGGGAAGCTCTTTGAAATCCACAAGTGTGAATTACATTAGGATACAATACAACTGGTATATTGGTAACATAATTAATGATTAAAATAGAGCTCTTTATTAAATGTGTTCTGGCATAGTTCATGTGACAGATGAGGAATGAAGAGGACAAAAAGGTGTTACTTAAAATCAGAATCAACCTTAGCAGCACCTGCTTTCAAAAGTTTGTGTGGGGGGAGGTAGTTTAGTAGAAAAAGACGTGTAATGTTTGTTTCCCACTTTGAGGTTGCCTAGAGACCCACCCCAAGCATGATGGGACATGTTGTGCCCCACCACCAACCTGTCTAGGGAGCTAGGAAGGCAGGTGGAGGGGAGCAGCGTCTCTATTATCCCACCTCTGAGTCTTTTGTTTCAGCTGAATGATTTCATGAGGCTGGTAGGAGAGAAAGGTTGAAACTCCAAAGCTGCTGACAGTTTTTTGTACTGGAGAGTTGGAGAATATGGTCCACTGTTGACAGAATACATGAAGTATAGGTAAATGGAAGCCATGAGCAAGCAGGAGACAGTGGCCCAAACTGTTTTGCAGTCACAGAAAAGGGAAATCAATTTCTTGGAGAGACCATGAAAAGGAGACATGGGAAAAGGAAGAACACAGAGGGGAAGAGGGTGAGAAGCAACAGACATAAGACCCTTCCTCTGCCATACACTTGTCTCTCCTGATTGACAGACATAAGCGGGGGAAATCAAGAAAAAGTGTCCACATCTAGGGTGAGTCAGAGAAGAGACTGAGAAAAGATGATGCATAACCTGAACTGATTCAGAACACAGGAGCTCTGAATATAAAAATGCTAAAAACCTTCCAGTCCCAGGATGTCAGAGTGACGTAGGGCATGTGTCAGCAGAAAGCAACCTGCATGCTCTGGTGGGGAAGGGAAGGTGACAGGAATCCTGCTCTTCTGGATGAAATTACATCCATGTTTACTCTTCACTGAGCATGTAGCTCACCCACTATTGCATATTAAAACATTTTTTTTTAATTTTAGCTTGCTTAGCTGTTACTTTGTGGCAGGACGGTTTTAAATTTGAGTTTGGTTTATGCCATACAAACTTCAGACCATTTAGAGATGCTGCTTTCAGTTACATTTTTAAAATACCTGTGAATTCTACAGAACCAGTGCCTGTCTAGGGAGGTAGGAAGGCAAGTGGAGGGGAGCAGCTTCTCTGTTATCCCATCTGAGTCTTTTGTTTCAGCTGAATGATTCCAGAGACTGGTAGAAGAGAAAGGTTGAAATTCCAAATTGCCTTATAGAAATACAACTTTGAAAAATTCAATTCCAAAAAATTCTTGCAGAAAACAGGAATAGCCACATATATAATTTTTAAATTTGTTTTTTTAAATAACTTTATTTTATTTATTTATATATGGTGCTGAGGATCGAACCCAGGGCTTTGCATGTGCGAGACAAGTGCTCTACCGCTGAGCCATAACCCCAGCCCCTAAATTTTTTTTTTTTTGATGAAACAAAAATTTATATTCTGACAACAGGGATAGAATTTGTACAGATGTTTCATTTGTTTAAATTATTTTTCTCATTATTCCCTTGTCCCTTGAATACTCYAAAAGATGTAGTTTATATCCTGGCAATTCACTCAAGCTGCTCCCTTTGGACAAGCTGTGTTGAATCTCCCTTTCTTTCTGTGGGTATTTTCTTACCAGGATCCTCATATTGTTTTCCAGTTCCTCTCAATATATGAACAAGTCCCATTTGGGGAGTTGAGATTCACTTTCAAGTATTCTAAAACCCAATCTAGAATAAATCAGAATTTAGAAATTGCATCCAACTCAAAAGATTTTTCTCTCCCTCTCTTCCAAAGAAGCCTGTACCCTGCAGTGAGGAAAAGGACAAAGCCCRTTTTCTCAGTTCTTATTTCATCGTGCCACATCTGAATTTCTCTGTGTGGTGGTTTATATGTGGTGTCCCCCAAAAGCTCTCATCAGACAATGCAAGAAGGTTCAGAGGAGTAATAATTAGGTTACAGCCTTAACCKAATCAGTGAATTGGTCCCTGATGGGATTAACTGAGTGGTAACTGGAGGGGGAGGGCTGGAGGAAGTAGTTCACTGGGTGGGGGCGTGGCTGTAGGGTATATATTTTGTATCTGCAGAGTGGAGTATCTCTCTGCTTTCTGATCATCACGTGGGCTGCTTCCCTCTGCCCCACTCTTCCACCATGATGTTCTGCCTCATCTGGAGCCCTGAGGAATGGAGCGGGCCTTCTCTGTACTAAGACCTCTGACACTGTGAGCCCTCTAATAAACTTTTCCTCCTTTACAGTTGTTCTGGTGGGCTCCTTTAGTCACAGCAATGAAAAAGCAAACTAAAACACTCTGGCTTGTATTTGTGGAGCTCAGGAGGAAAATTGGTGAGATAATAAGGGTAGAAATCTCCTGTAACTCATGTCCTTATAACTTGCCTATGTTCTCTGAGTGGCAGCTTCCAAAATGTGGATCCCTTAGATGCTCTCACACTGACTTCTGCCACACTCCCTGGCACTCACCAACCAATGGGAAACAAAAGCTAGGTGGCATCAGAACAATTGGATTCCACTCTTCTATTTCTCCTGTTCTGAAACACTGATTACCTGTACTGTCACCCTGAGAAGTCCTTAATACCCAACATTTTCTGAGAAAACTTGTGCTTCTTTGAGGCACATCATGAGGCTGAGGGCAGTGTGGTAATACATTTGAAATTCTTTCTTGCTTCATTCAGTTTTATATTTTTTTTTCACACTTGCTTGCCCTTGGATTATATATGCCTGCCCCTTCCATAAAGAATCATCACTGATTTCTTGCCTTAGGCTTTGTTGTCTAGGAAACCTGAGCTAAGACAACTTTTAAACTAATACTAGATAGAGAAATAAGAAATTGCCTGGCAAGCATGGAGGATAATATTCTAGATTTAAAGAATTGTATACTTGGAGACCTAAGGCAAAAATTGGAATTTAGCTTTTAATCTTAGTCTGTTCCAGCTGCTGTAACAAAATGCCATAAACTGGATGTCTTATAAATAACAGAAATTTATTGTTCACAGTTCTGGAGGTTGGGAAGTCCAAGATCAAGGCACTTGCAAATCAACATCTGGCAAAGGCCTCTTTCCTGGTTTTAGCTGTGTGGAAAGGACTTAGTATTCTCTGGAGTCTCTCTTTTTTTAAGGATACTCTTTCCAATCGTGTGGCTTTATCCTCAATATCGAGTCACCTTCTMAGAGCCCTGCTTCCTAGTACCATAATCTTGGGGGTTAGGACCTCAACATAAGCACCTTAGGCAGACCTAATCACTCAGTCCATTGCACTGGAGTTCTCAAGACATGGCTCCATTGGGGAACGAGCCTGGAGTGGTGGTGTAGGGTTTGTGAAAGAAGAGGCTAGACAGGTGCATCTTTTCACTAAGTATGCAGTTGGCCTCTGTAAGGAAGGGGGTAAAACCACAGAAGAATTTGAAGCCAAGGAATGACAAAGACAGACATGCAATTCAGACCACTCTGTCTGCAGTAGGGAGCTGGATTGAAAGTGAGCAGAAACAATGGAACAATCTTTGCACATGTTCACTAGGGTGTGGTACATTCATTTTGTGATAGAATGAAAGTAGTTTATCATATATCATCAATATATTATATTAAAATGCCATTATTAAAATTGGCCTTTTAATTAAATAGTCCAATTGTTTCTTATTACAACACAAGTATACTAATGCTCTTTAAAGTTACTATAGGAAAGGCCACAACGAAGGGCTAATTTTGATGTGTTGAGTAAAAATTATAGGATGATTCTGGAGATGTAGCTCTAGCTCAGTGGCAGAACACTTGCCTAACGTGTGAGGCCCTGAGTTCAATCCGTAGTACAACAAGAAAGAAAAAAAGGAGAGAAATGAAATTATACAGTTACAGGGACTTTTTTTTTTTT